CAATTTTTACAATTAAAACATTTATACAATAAAATAATTGGTAAATAAATGGTAAGTAATTGCAATAATAATTGTAATTGTAAATAAAGGGTTTGATGAGCCTGCTGCCTGGGGAGGTGAGGGGGGCAGGAGGCCTGACGGGGAAAGCAAGCGGCTCCTCAGCGGGAAGACGTCCTCGCTTCGCTGGGTGCTTCCCCAGTGCCCTCCTCCCACCCAAAGCCGGCTGGCAGTCGTAGCCCGAGCCCCTTCCCGCTCCCTCACCCAGGGCTCGGTGGGTTGGAGCGGCTGCGGACGTGGCTCCAGGTGCCAGCAGGGCAGAGGGGTCCCCGTGCCCAGAGACGTCTTTGCAAGCCCGTGGCCTCAGCTGGAGGGGGGCTGTGTTGGTGTCCCAGCCCCAGGTGCCGGCTCCGGCCCCAAGAACCTTGCTGGGAGCGCCCGGCTGCTGCAGGGGCAGCGGGTGCAGGCGGAGGAGAGCGCAGCATGAAATCATTTGCCATGACAAAGCCTATTCCCCCAATTCCTGCCCATGTGTTGCTGCCAGACCCTGTGCTCCCTGCCTGCCTCTGGGCCATGCATCCCAACCACCAGCACGGAGATCCCAGCCTTGCTCCTTTCCTCCAGGAACTTCTCAAATCTTCCAGAAAGGCCTAAAATTGTCGCTCCCCAATATCCTCCCCCCGTCACACCCTTGTGCTCTTTTCCCTGTCCACAGCTGCTGTCTGTCCCAAGGAAGGCTGGCGAACGACGGCTTGCATATGACACAGCCCCCCTCCTGAGAAGCTGACATCCTGCTTCCTCCGCTGTTTATCTTGATGCAGCAATCTCCACCATCTCGTGCTTCTTACGTGCAGCGGGTGACACCGCCGAGAAACGTCCCCGGGCGCTTCGAATGGAAACAGCGTGAAGGCTGCCGGTGCAGAGTGTGCTGCTGCTGGGGACCAGGGGCTGGAGGAGGCCATCACGCGCGGCAGGGCTGGGGGGCGCCTGGGACTGGGGCTCTGGGGGCAGGCTGCTGCCTGGAGGTGCCCCTCGGGTGCCAGGAGGGTGTGAGGTTGCACCTGGAGGCAGGAGGTGCCCCTGTCAGAGTTTTGCTTGGGTTGCACGGAGGCATCCCAGCTGGCACCAGGTCCTGCCCCAACCTGGTCTGAGCGCGGGAGGGTTGCTGAGACCTCGAGCAGCAGCAGCAGCTCCTGATTTCCACGGGCTTTAGCAGCACCGCTCTCTAGAGATGATCCATTGGAGCCCTTAGTACCGCCGGGCTGGGCATCAGCTCTGCCCACCAGCAGGAACAGCACCCTGCTGCCATGGTGAAGGTGGTGGTGGCCCCGTGCCATACCCATGTGGCACCTTCGCATCGCAGTTACCATTGCCCTGCCCAGGCCCTGCAGATTTCCGCTCGCTAAAGGAACAGTTTCGTGCCCCTGCTCCATCCCTCCGCTTACTCGCTGCTTACTCACGCCCCGGGGGCCGCTGCCTTTCCCCGCAGAGTCAGGTGTTGTTTCTCATGCAAATAGTTTGCAGGGGCCTTCCTAATTTCTGAGAAGCATCTGAAAGACCTCAATGCTCTCCTTGTTTATTTGCAAACACTTAATCATTTCCTTTTCTTGCCCCAGCCACGTGGCCTCCTGCCTGGGTCAGACCCGCAGATGTGAATTCAGTTAAACCAACGGGGGAGGGATCTTTGGGAACCTGTGGGTTTGTCTTCCTCAGCATCTTTTTGTGGTAATTTGTGTTCCCCATTTCATTTGGGAAGCTTTGCTTTCCCTGGGCTTTGAGGACGTTCAGCTCTGGGCTTCAGCTGGCTACATCTGAGGTGTTTGATCATTGCTTTCTTGTACATCTTCCAAATTTTCAGTGCTCCTTAAATACCCCAGATGCTTTTAAGCCATTTTGGGACTGACCCTCGATCCTTTGAGGTGACTGCTCAGGGTGATAGCTGTGTGTCCTGACAGTGATGGCTGCAGGAGACCAGGGTTTTGTCCGGGTCCCAGCCGCTTCGGTAGGACCCTCGCCGACACATTGGGCCAGCTTCTTGTGGGGGGAAAAAAAGGACATTTGTGCTTCAGTGAAGTGGTGTGGCATGTGCTTGCTGAAGTTTTTGTCTTTTAGTTTTGAAATACAAACCATTTTCTCACTTATTCCTCTTTCTCCTTCCTTTTTAGCCCTTCTTTTGCTCTTTCAGTGGCCAAACAGAAGAGGACTGCCCCATGCAGTTCGCCATATTCCAGCTCAGAGAAGGGGAATTTATTTTTTTAAGCATCAAAGGACCTTTTTCGGCCCCCCTCAGCTAACCCCAAGATGTACCATCCACCCCATTGGGCTGAAGGGGATTTACCAGCATGAGCCGCAGCATGGCTGGAGCCAGGCTGTTTTCTTTGGTGCTGGAGAAGCTGGTGCAAGAGCCAGCGGGAGCTGTGTTGGTCTGGCAGGGTGCAGGCAGGGTAAAGCCTGCCCAAAACCCAGGGGCTGCTGCGGGGCTGGGACCGGGCTCCTGTGCGATGCCGGCACCCGGGGCACGTGCTGGGCTGGGGCACAGCACTGCTGCTCGCCTTGCTTTCCCCTGCAGCGGATTCCTCGCAGCGAGATTGATCTTTTCTTTTATTCTTTTCATCCTTTTTAATTTTTTTTTTCAGCAAAAAGGGGAAAACCCTGTTCTTTCTCTCTCTTGTGGCGGAGCAAGCTTTCCATCAGCGTCCTGCCAGAGAGCTCCCGGCTCACCGCACCCCCCCCCCCGGTTC